ACAGACCTTTTTTTCCATTCCCAAAAAAAATCCTATAAACCTTTTATCCTTTTTTTTTTTCCTTCCCCCCTCCCATTGTTCTCCGTTTTCCGGTGCCAGGTTTGAGCCTATTTTGGAGTGAAAATCAAAATAAATTCTGTTTTTCTGGACAGACTGGGCTAGGACTGGTGGTGTTAAAGGACAGAGATTATCGCGCCGTGCACGCGCACGGGGGAGATTTATGGCTCTCCAAAGATTCTTCCTAAAATATTTACAAAGTGGAGCTCGGAGAGGGAATGTTTGACTCGGCCATGGCTGTCAGGCCTCTGGGTGGCATGAGGGGGGAATATAAACAGACCTTTTTTTCCATTCCCAAAAAAAATCCTATAAACCTTTTATCTTTTTTTTTTTCCTTCCCCCCTCCCATTGTTCTCCGTTTTCCGGTGCCAGGTTTGAGCCTATTTTGGAGTGAAAATCAAAATAAATTCTGTTTTTCTGGACAGACTAAGCTAGGACTGGTAGTGTTAGAGGACAGAGATTATTCCCCCTTTCCCCTTCCCTTTCCCTTTCCATTCCACTTCCCATTTTTTTCCCATTTCATGTGATTTCCTCAGAATTTTCACATTTTTGAGGCAACCCAGTTGGAAGCACCTTTCCCAGAAGGGCCAAAGCTGATTATTTCTGGGTCTTTCCCTCCAAAAACCCAAATTCCCCTTTTCCTTGGCCATCCCCACTCCCATGCTGGGGACTGACCATCACTCAACCATTGTGACAGAGGAAAAATCCATTAAAATCCCTCACTTTATTCCCCACTTTTCCACGAGGATAAAACAGATCACACCCGAGTTCACCTTTAAACAAAATAATATCAAACAGCTTTTTATTTCATTTTATTTCATCTTATTTTATTCCCCCTCCCCCCCAAGGTTCAGGATAAATGGTACAAATGTAATAAATGTAAACTGCACTTGGCACCGTCGGGGTCAATAAATAACATAAAAAAGGGAGCGAGCGCGGGAGGCGTTTGGGAGGCGGCGCTTTGGGATCTAAATAAATAACATAAGTTACTTCCAATAAATAGCAGTATCCAAAATACAGATGCATTGCATCCACTTCTGCAGCCGGGCACGGGCCCGGCCATTCCGGAGGGGAACGGCAAAATCCGGATGGTGCCGGTGGTGCTGGAACAGGAATCCCTTTTCCCCCTTTCCCCCTTTCCTACCTTTTTTTTTTTTCCTTTTCCCCCTTGTTTCTTTTTCCTCCTTTTTTCCTTTTCCCCATTTTTTTATTTTTTCCTTTTTCTCCTTTTTCTCTTTTTTTTCCCCTTTTCTCTTTTCCCCTTTTCTCTTCCACCTCTTTCGCCTTCTTTTATTTTTATTTCCTTTTTGCCCTTCCCCCTTTTTCCCTTTATTATTTTTCCCTTTTGCCCTTTTTCCTCTTTCCCTTTTTACTTTCTCTTCTTTCCCTCATTTCCACCTCTTCATTTTAATTGCTTTTTTTCCCTCCCCTCCCTTTTTTCATTTTTTTTCCTTTTCCCCTTTTCCTTTTTTTTTCCTCCTTTATCTTTTTTCCCCTCTTTTTCTTTTTTCTCCTCCCCCCTTTTTCCTTTCTCCCTTTTTTTCCTTTTTTTTCCCTTTTCCCCTTTTTCCTTTCTCCCTTTTTTTCCTTTTTTTTCCTTTTCCCCTTTTTCCTTTCTCCCTTTTTTCCTTTCTCCCTTTTTTCCTTTTTTCCCTTTCCCCCTTTTTTTTTTCTTTTTTTCTCCCCCACTTTTCCTCCTTTTTCTTTTATTTCCTTTTCCCCCCTTTTCCCCTTTTCTGCCCCTTTCTCTTGGGCGTCCCCTTCGAGGCCACGCTTTGTTCAGCCCAGAAGGAAAACACATGGCAGCCCCATTCCCACTTTACAACGGGCTCTGAATCCCACCAAAACACCATTTCTCTGGATAAATTGGGAAAATCCTTTCTCCCAGCAGGATCCTGGAGCTGTTTAAACCCAGAACATTCCCCGTGCCGGCGCTTTCATCGAGTGGAAGCGACGACGTCGGACGCGATTTCCCCCCCGTGGATCCCAAATTGGGAGCGAGACCCTGGGAGCGAACGGGATCCCAAGAGATTTGTGGGATGTGTGGATCTGATCCCGAGCTAGCACAGCGTGTCCTGATGGAAAACCCACTGGAAACCCCAGAACTCACCGTGCCAGGGCTGGGAGAGCACGACCCTGGGGTTTTGCGCTGTCACAGCCACCAGGATAAATTTAAACATCTCCTTGTGTTTCCAAACCTCCTGCTCTTCAAACCCTCCTCTCCTTGAGAGAGGAGCTCTCTGGGAGGAGCTGCAGCCCCAGACAAACCAAAACCCAACCCCAAAATCCCCTCGACAGCTGTTGCACACTGGTTATCATCATTATTAATATTATTATTATTAATATTAATATTAACCAGCACATGGGTTGCTGAGGAAGGAGCCAGATGAGATTCTGCTGTGGCTTTGAGGAGGGAATTTTCCACTTTTTTTTTTTTTTTTTTGCATTGTAGACATTCTTCCGGACAACTCCAGCTCCTATTACAGCAAAGGGGGCTGGAGAAATGGAAAGCATTAGGGAAACCTCAGCCTTTCTATTGGAACCACATTTCCAGGGCCGGCTGGCAGCGGGATGGCACCGGGACAGCTGGAGGAGCTCCACGAGGAGGAGGAGCCCTGAGAAAGACATGGAAGCAGAATCCATCCTTTTGGCCACACCACGATGCCCCAGCTCACCCCATCGGGGAGTTTTGTGGCTGCAAATCCCAGCTGTTCCCAAAAAAAAAAACACCAAAAAAAACCAGCGTGAGGCAGATGGGGAACATCCCCTCCACACGGGCTGGAGCTGCGCTGCCAGCAGGGGGGAATTAAAAAAAGAACAAAAAAAAAAAAAGCAAAAAATGATGGATTGGAGCTATTCCTGCTGCTTTTAACACACCACTGCACTGAGTCAGGTTTTCCTCCCAGTTTTGGGGGCTCCAAGCTGGATCTGCACTGGGAATGGGGGATTTTGGCAGCTGGGAGGTGTCCCAGCACGAGCCGCTGCTCCCTTGTCCCCTCGTCTTCCTGCTGCTCCCACCACCACTCTGGAGAGAGGAGGGTCCCTTGGGCCGAGTGCCCACCATCAAGACACCCTAAATCCCTGGATTCTGCCAAAAAAATATCCCAAACCAAGGTGCAAACACTGAGCAGAGGCAGCTCCTGCTCCAAATCCTCCTCTGCAGCACCAGGTCCTGCACTGCTTCCACACCACCTTCCCTGCTCTGCTTCCATTCCTTTTTTCTTACTGCAACCAAACTAATTTTAGTTTTATAGCAGCGAGACCTGGAAAGCACCCAAGCCCTCGAGAGGACAGTTATTATTATTATCATTATTATTATTAGATTTGGGTGCTTTTTTTTATCTTAAACTCAAGTGAGCCGCTTATCCGCTGCGAGCCCAGCGCGGCTCCCACTGCCCGTCTGCCATTCCCATCCTCCAGCTGATTATTTTGGGCCACTTTTCCCATTTCCAGGGCTGCAAACTCACACCTTGCTTCGGGAGCTGCACCTGGAGCGTGGAGTTTATCCTCCCTCAGTTCCCAATTCCCGGGTGCGGGTTTCACACCCCGCACCCGCGGCCGCCTCCCGCCTTTCCCAAAATCCAGGGAAAACTCCGTGTTACAGAGTCCAGGCTGCCTTCCCGGGCCGCCAGGCCTGCTGAAGGATGGTGTTTATATTCCTCCACTACACCCTGGCTCTGCTCAGCCAAGAGCTGCTTTTGGATAAAAAGGAAGGGAAAAAAAATCCCCACCAGCCTGGGCCTGTGTGGAGGTCGGGAATGTGGCTGGTCCAACACTGGAGATGCTGCTCCCCACCTAAGGGATGCCATCCTGCTTCCCCAAAGTCCTGCAGCACCATCCCTGAGCTGGGATCACCACCAGCAGCCCTCCTCCTCCTCAGGATGAAGGCACGAGGGATTTTTTCCCCCCGTTTGTCCGGAGAGAGGAGCCAGGACGCCGGGGGGTGGCACACGGAGTGTTTTCCCTCACGTTGGTTAATGCCCAGGACATGACACCAATATTCTCCTTCTGTTTATGATTTGCTTTTTCTGGGAAGGGAGCCAAGGGGAGAAAACCCATCAATCCCAGGCAACAACTCGAGCCTGCCCAGGGAATGTGAAAGTCTGCGGGCTCATTTATTTCCCCGCAGAGTAAACAGCAGTGACACTGCTGTAAATGCGAGCGGAGCCGAAGCCAGGCCTGAGTCCCCTCTCCCGCAGGATTCCAGCCCCGAGCAGAGCATGGGGGATGCTCCCGGGGGGATTTTGGGAGATGCCAAACCAGGGATACTCTGCTGGTGGCCCTGGGGAGGTTCTGTCACCTCCCTGGTGGTGGCTGGGCTCTGGCCCAGCTGCCCGTGGCGGGGGCACAGGAGGTTAATCCAGTTACTTCAGATTATCCCGAGTTTTAAGAAGAAAAGCCCCAGGGCTGCAAGAATGAGACGACGGCAAAAGGGGCACAAGCCAGAGGGAGTCAGAGCCACACACAAACCGCTGTTGTCATTTCTGTGTCCCCAGACACCGGGATTTGGGGTGCTTGGACCTCCCCCAGCAGCTCAGGGTGGTCACAAAACCCCAAAACTACAGAGAGAAGGACTCAGCCCCCACCCTGGGGCAGCACAGGGCACCTGATGGACCCCATACCTGTAACACACCCCAAAACACACCTGGAGTGTGCAGCACACCCCAAAACACACCTGGAGTGTGCAGCACACCCCAAAACACACCCCAGGTGTGCAGCATACCCCAAAACACACCCGGAGTGTGCGGTACACCCTGTCCAGTACCACACAGCACCAGCACTGCTCAGAACACCCCCTGCACATGCCACACCCCTGTGCCACACCCCTGTGTCACACCCCTGTGCCACACCCTGACACAGAACCCCTGGCACGTGTGTGTCCCCCATGCCAGAGACACCTGCGCCTCACCACCCCCTCTGCAGGTAACGTAGCCTGTGACACGCGTGACACACGTGACACGCAGTGCAGCCCGTGCCCGCCGAGCGCTGGACACGCCCCGTGCACGCTGCACACCCACTGTCCCCTCAGCAGGGACCGCTGGGCCACCCGCAGAGGGGACAACAGCCTCAAGCCGCCGTCACCGCTCCAACCGCCTCCGCCACGGCGGTGGCCACGTCTCTAGTCCTGCGCGGCCGGCGGGACGGTGACGCCGAGGGACACGCCAGCGGCTCAGTCTCTCCTCCTCCGGCCGCTCCAGCCTCCATCCCGGCCCCTCTGCCCGGGTGGCCCCGTCACACGCAGCCGCACTCCTTGGCCGACAGCTCGTTGACGGTGTAGTAGCGGTTGTAGGCGTCCAGGAAGGACACGTCGTCGTCGTAGGCCAGCGGCCTGCAGCACGGCCGCGCCCGGATCTTCTCCTTCCGGATCTTTCTGCGGCTCCTCATGCTCTTGAGGGAGAGGTCGTAGCTGCGCACGGCGGCCTCGCAGGTGCCGCTGCAGTAGCGGAACAGAACGGTCTCGTCCGACTCGTAGCCCAGGCCCAGCTCGCTGACGCTGACCTCCAGCTCGCGCAGCTCGCAGGGTTTGTGGCGGGCGCGGGCGCGTTTGCGGCGGCTGCCGGCGCGAGGGAAGAGCGGCAGCTCGTGCCCGCCCGAGTTCATGGCCTGGCGGTAGCGCTCCACCAGCGCCGAGATCAGCTGGCGGATCTCGCCCTCCGTGTAGCTCTCCAGCAAGGCGCTGTCTGCAAGGGGAGGGGACGCGGTTAGAGGGTGTCCCCAGGGAGGGTGGGGGTTACTGGGGTGGGTGGAGGTGGCCTGAGGTGGGAGATCCACCAAGGATGGTGGTCTGGGGATCCTCCAGGATGGAGGTGCCTTGGGGTGGGTGGGTAACCTCAGGATGGAGATTCCTTGGGGTGGGTGGAAAACTTCAGGATGGAAATTCCTTGGGGTGGGTGGGTAACCTCAGGATGGAGATTCCTTGGGGAGGGTGGAAAACCTCAGGCTGGAGATTCCTTGGGGAGGGTGGAAAACCTCAGGCTGGAGATTCCTTGGGGAGGGTGGAAAACCTCAGGCTGGAGATTCCTTGGGGAGGGTGGAAAACCTCAGGCTGGAGATTCCTTGGGGAGGGTGGAAAACCTCAGGCTGGAGATTCCTTGGGGAGGGTGGAAAACCTCAGGCTGGAGATTCCTTGGGGAGGGTGGAAAACCTCAGGCTGGAGATTCCTTGGGGAGGGTGGAAAACCTCAGGCTGGAGATTCCTTGGGGAGGGTGGAAAACCTCAGGCTGGAGATTCCTTGGGGAGGGTGGAAAACCTCAGGCTGGAGATTCCTTGGGGAGGGTGGAAAACCTCAGGCTGGAGATTCCTTGGGGAGGGTGGAAAACCTCAGGCTGGAGATTCCTTGGGGTGGGTGGATGACCTCAGGATGGAGATTCCTTGGGGTGAGTGATTAAGCTCAGGATGGAGATTGCCTGAGGTGGGTGGATAACCTCAGGATGGAGATTCCTTGGGGTGGGTAAATGTCCTCCAGGAAGAAGGTTCCTTGGGGTGCATGACTCCCAGGATGGAGATTCCCAGGGTGGGCTAACATCCACCTGGATGGAGGAGGTCACCTGAGATGGGAGATCCTCCATGGATGAGAACCTCAGGATCCTCCAGGATGGAGGTGCCTTAAGGTGGACGGGTGATCCCCAGGGTGGAAATTCCCTGCGGTGGGAGGACATTCCCCAGAATGAAAATTCCCTGGAGTGGGTGAAAGTCCCCTAAGATGGAGGACCCTTAGGACACGTGGATTTGGGGAGAAACCCCAAAAAATTTCCTATTTGCACTGTTTCACTGTGGTCTGGGAGCCCCCAGACCCCAAGGGCTGCCCCTGAGACCCCAGGGCCAGCAGCCAAGACACAAACTGTGCCCAGCTACTGCTGGCAACACCCACATCCCTTTGTCCCAGCCCTAAATCCAGGGTTATTCCAGCTCAGCTCCGCAGGAGGCACAGGAAAGACAGAGGAAAGCGTGGTCTGACAGCTTGTCATCGATTTCCAAATTTCCACCCAAAAAAAGCAGTTCCTCTGGTTTGGAATCAAAACAAACACGTGGGGATTTCCAGCCCTCAGGGAGCACCGAGGGGTGAGCAGGGGGAGCTGCTGCCATGCCCTCATCTTCAGCTCCTGTTTGACATTTTCCATTTGTAAAAAATAGCACAGGAAAAAAAAAATTACCAAAAAAGAGCTATTTGGAAGGGAATAAAAGCAGCTTCTTTGCAGGAACTGAGCTCTTTCCGTTTCCCTCTGTGGAGAGCTGCTGTGTTCACACCAAAGTTTGGTGCCTCCTGCTCGCCCCAGGTTTTTGTTTAAACCTCCTAAAGGGGATGTTTGGATGCAGGAGAGGGCAGGGAATGACCCCAAAAAAAAAAATTACCAAAAAGAGCTATTTGGAAGGGAATAAAAGCAGCTTCTTTGCAGGAACTGAGCTCTTTGAGTTTCCCTCTGTGGAGAGCTGCTGTGTTCACACCAAAGTTTGGTGCCTCCTGCTCGCCCCAGGTTTTTGTTTAAACCTCCTAAAGGGGATGTTTGGATGCAGGAGAGGGCAGGGAATGACCCCACAGGGATTTGGGGGATCTGTGGGGCCGGGGGGAAGACAATGACCCCGGGATGGAGGAGCAGGAGCTTACACTGGGCCAGCAGAGAGCCGTGGTGTTGCAGGGCCCGTGGGGATCTCCGCGGAGCCGCCGGCAGCGAGGAGGAGGAGGAGGAGGAGGAGGAGGAAGAAGAGGAGGAGGAGGAGGATGAATCCCGTGAGGAAGACGGCGAGGAAGGCAAGGGGCTGAATTCCCGGCTTCCGTTGAACATGTCTCTACAAACTAAAATGGATAACATGGAACTGAGGAGCATCGATGCAATGGCTGCACACTTCCATACCTTCATCTTAGAGCAAGTCAGAACATTGAAACTCTGCAAAACAGGCAAAACAAACATCCTTAATGTGTGCCCCGAGCCCCCCGAGCCCCTTCCCTCCCTCCCTCCCTCCCTGAGGCTTGGGGTGGGGGATCCTTCCCCCGGGATCCCTTTGGCTCCAGCTCTTCCCTTCCCAACACCAGCACTTCCCTTCCACCAACTCAGCATGGTGCTGAGATGGGGAAACTGAGGCACGAGGGGCAGCCCAGGGATGTGCTGGGCTGGGAGACTGGCCATGGGGCTGGTGGTGGCAGTGGGGACGAGGTGGCAGCAAAGGGGACATGGTGGAAGCAATGGGGATGAGGTGACTGCAGGAGGAACCCCTGGCTCTGATGGGTTTGATGCCTCTGTCTTTCCACCTCCTGGCTCCTGTATTTATTTCAGCTCCTTGCAAATTCCAAATATTTTTCCTTTTGAAATAAATTTTCCAGGGGGTATTAAAAAAATAAATAATAAAAAAATTAAAACTAAATTAATAAATAAATAAATTTTTAAAAAGAAAAGGAAAAAATCCAATCCCAGTTTTATAGCATTTACCAGATAGAAATCTAGAATTTACTGGGGTGGGGAAATGTTTATTTTAAATTGGAATTTGACAGGTTTGCTTTTAGTTTTATTGTAGGAAACATCATGAAGGGCTGTGACCGCCCCCTCATCACCACATCCCTTGATTTTACGGGATGCAGATAATTCCCTGTCCCACCAGGAATCAGATACCCTGTAGGTTACAGGATCATTGCAGGACCCAGCCAGAGTCTAAATATTTTCGAGGGGGTATAAACAATGCCAAGATAGAAAAAGAATAGTTTGGCCTTATAAGGAGGGAAGAGGATGGAATTCCAGCGGGGCTGGAGCGGCAGCACTGGCCTGGACACTGGGAATGGGAGCTGGGAGAGCACTGGGAGCACTGGGAGCACTGGAGCAGGTCTCAGCCCATCAAGCCAAGGGAGAGCTGCGGGGCTGTGATGGAGGAGGATGGAGGATGATGAAGGAAGATGGAAGATGATGGAGGAGGATAAAGGAAGATGGAGGAGGATGGAGGATGGAAGATGATGGAGGAAGATGGAGGAGGATGGAGGATGATGAAGGAAGATGGAGGATGGAGGAAGATGATGATGAAGGATGGAAGAGGATGATTGAAGGTGATGGAGGAGGATGAAGGAAGATGGAGGAGGATGGAGAAGAATGGAGGATGGAGGAAGATGGAGGATGGAGGAGGATGATGAAGGAAGACAGAGGATGGAGGAGGATGAAGGAAGATGGAGGAGGATGGAGGATGATGAAGGAAGATGGAGGATGGAGGATGATGAAGGAGGATGGAGGAGGATGGAGGATGGAAGATGATGGAGGAGGATGGAGGAGGATGGAAGATGATGAAGGAGGATGGAGGATGATGGAGGGTGCCAGGTGTGCTCACATCCACATTCACCATCCTGACAGTGGGAATGGTGACGGGACACAGGGAATGGCCTCCCACTGCCAGAGGGCAGGGCTGGGTAGGATACTGGGATGGAATTCCTGGCTGGGAGGGTGGGGAGGCCCTGGAATGAATTTCCCAGAGCAGCTGGGGCTGCCCTGGATCCCTGGCAGTGCCCAGGGCCAAGCTGGACAGGGCTTGGAGCACCTGGGACAGTGGAAGTTGTCCCTGCCCATGGCAGGGGGTGGGACTGGATATTTTAACTTCCCGTTCTGGAATTCCATAATAATCAGGTGCTTCAGCTCAGATTTCACCCTGGAAACAAGAGCAGGAGCAGGGAACAGGCACTGAGAACTCCCTGGCATCCCAACCCTTCCCAGCAAGGGTCGGTGCTCAGTGGTGCAGGACCAAAAAAACCCAATTTCCTCCTGGACAAAATCGGTGGAAATGAAGGATTTGTGAAGAACCAGCAGCCCCAGGGGAGGGGTTGGGAGGGAAAGGACACTTTGTTCTGCTCTCCAGGAGGACAAACAGCTTCTAGCAGCTGATGCTGGGTATTTTGGGAGATGAATTCCATGAGCAGTGGGATCACACTGAGCTGAACCCCCATCACCCAGGGGGCTCAGCCCCCTTTGTCCTGCTCAGGGGAGGAAAAGGCTGGGCCAGAGCAGGGCTGTGACACTCGATCCCACCACCTGGGAAAGGGCCTCTGGCTTCTTGCAGGCCCATAAAATTTTAGGAGAGCGGTTCCAGCCTCGCTGCACGTCCCATAAAACAGCCTCCCATTCCGGCAGCCAGAAATCCTGGCCCCCACCCACTCGCCTGTGACCTTTCAAAAGACTCAAATCCCAGCTCCAAAGTGCAAAACAATAACAAGAAAGTTATTCCAGGCTTTGCTGTTGGTTTCTTTTGCTCTAAAAAGCCCCAGACCAGCCCCGTCCAACCTGGCCTTGGACACTTCCAGGCATGACGGTGTTTCCACTTGTTTTTCCTGATAAATCAAAATCCAGCAACTCCGTCCCCACAGGCGTTTTTTGCCCACAAAAAGTGAAGTTTGGGGTTCTCTGGTGTCCCTCATTTTGCACACTCTCACTTTTTTCCATCACTCTTGTTTTTCAATCCCACTCCCGGTTTTTCCAGCAGACTCTCGGGATTTGTTTCTGATATCCACAGACTCCTTAAAGCTCACAGAGTCATGAAGTGAGGGAGAAAAGAGATTTTTTTTTTTTTTTCCCTAAATCCTCCTTGCTGAAGGGTTGAAAGAAGGAGATGCCAAAACCTTCAGTGCTGATGCTTCAAAGCAGAGGACCCAAAAGACATTATATTCTAAGTGTGCCATAAATTTTCCGTCGATTCATGTTTCCGGGCATTGATTCATTATTTTCCAGAGCCCAGCCTCAAGAATGGATGAAGCCACGGTGTGGCCGAAGGATTTTTGGCAACACAAAGCACTTGGAAAGACAGAGGCCTTGATGGGACATCAGAGAGAGCTTCCACCTGCCACACACTGTTTATTTGAGTGCCTTACATGGGAGCCAAGCTGCTTTGAAATCCCGGCTCCTCATGACTCATCCTGCAGGAATTAAACAATTTCCATGGGCAGCAGCTCCAGAGGCTGCTCCTCCAGCAGCAGCTCCGGCTCAACGCCTGGTCCTGCTCACAGGATGGGGCTGGGTTGTCCTGGAGAGGATGAGGGTGGTGGAGAGAAAGACTGTTCCCAAGACTGCCTCAGATCTTCCCCAAAACTGCCTCAGATTTTCACCAAAACTCCCTCAGACCATAAGAAAAACTCCCTCAGATTTTCCCCAAAAAACCTCTTCAGGTTGTCCCCAAAACTCCTCCAGATTTTCCCCAAAAATCTCCTCGCACTGTCCCCAAAACTCCTCCAGATTTTCCCCAAAACTTCTTCAGACCGTGCCAAAATTGCGTCAGACCTTCCCCAAAACTTACCACAAGCTCCCAAAATACTTTCTTGGGGATTGGAGCTTCCCCAAAAGCATCGGTGTGTCCAACACTCCTGGCCAGGGCAGGTGCTGCACTGGGAGGACTGGAGCCTGCAGCTCCCCTGGATCAAACTGGTCTCAAAATGCCAAAACTGCCCCAAAACAGGGAGGGTTGAAAGGGAAAAAAAGCCCCAAACCCTGATCTGGGGTGGACCTGTTGGATTTTCCTGCTCTTTTGACAGCAAGAAGGTGCACAAATGAGGGGGAAATGTCCCTGTCCCCATCCCCAGCTCTGCTCTGGGGACAGGGAGTGCCACCACCTCCTTGGCTGGGGACAGGGGACGCCTCATCCCTGCTGGCAGTGCTGCCAGCCTGGCACTGGCACAGCCTCGAGCTCTGAATCCTGACCCTGGTGGGGGCCACGAGGCTTCCTCAGCTCATCCCGCTCCTCCTCCTCCTCCCCCTCCAGCCCTTCCCGCTCCCCCTAAGCAGAAGCAGAGCGGAGTGTGGGACACATGGTTCTGCTTTGCCTCGGTGAAATGCAGCCCAGCAGCTCCAGAGCTCTCCCCCAGCTTCCCCCAGACCCCCACAAAGGGCCGACCACAAACCAGGCACAGCCTCAGCCCTGGGATGCAGCCCTGCTCCTCTGGGAAAGGTCTGGGGGAAGTGGGATCCCGGTGGGGGAACTGGAGCTGGGCACGGACCCACGGGAGGGGGAGAGGGAGATGGGGTGGGGGAGAGGGAGATGGGGTGGAGGAGAGGGAAATGGGGTGGGGGAGAGGGAGATGAGAGGGTGGGGAGGGAGATGGGCGGGTGGAGAAGGAAATGGAAGGGTGGAGAGGGAGATGGGATGGGGGAGAGGGAGATGGGATGGGGGAGAGGGAGGTAAGATGGAGGAGAGGGAGGTCGGATGATAGAGGAGGAGATGGGGTGGAGGAGAGGGTGGTGGGATGGTGGAGAGAGAAATGGGAGGGTGGAGAGGGAAATGGGATGAGGGAGAGGGAAATGCAAGGGTGGAGAAGGAGGTGGGATGGTAGAGGAGGAGATGGGAGAGGAGAGGGAGATGGGATGGGGGAAAGGGAGATGGGAGGGTGTGGGGTGGGATGGGGGAGAAGGAGGTGGGCTGGGGGACAGGGAGGTGGGATGGCGTGGGGCAGGAGGAGCTGCAGCATTCCCAGAGCCCCGGGCTGAACACGCCAAGCGCCCTCGTTCCCACGCTGCCATGACATTTACGTTCGGGCTGAATTACGGCGGGTTTGGTTTACATCTCTCCAAACAGCTGGAGAGCAACAAACCCACCCTCAACACGGTGGAAATAATAAGGAAAAGCCTCCCCCACCGAGCCTGTGGGATGGGGATGGATCGGCCAGGACACCCCGTGGTGCCGGGAGCGGTGCCGGGGGTGGTGGCCACGCCAAGTCCTGGTTGGAGAGGGAAGCCTGGGGAGCTTCCACCCAATAGAGCAGCTCTTGCTGGGGCCACATCCAAATTCCCACCATTCCATAGAATCACGGAGTCCCAGATTGGTTTGGGTTGTAAGGAACCT